TATTCTAGGAGAAAAAAATAGGGAAAAAAAGGGAAAAACAAAACTCATGTCAGTTACTTATCACAATCCAACAGGGAGGTTAACTATGTAGGTAAGTATGTAAGTATGCACAGTATGTCTGTGCATTTTTTATAGTAGTAGGTGCATATATCCTGACATGAATTACCACCAGAGTGGTACCTAGAGATCACACTGAGGTGGAACACAAGGGACGATGCTTGGTATATGTTGCAGGATGAGATTGAAACACAATATTATCACCCACGGACCCTTATAATACCGAGAATGAAGAGGTTCCTACGAACGAGTAACACCCTGAGAATGGGCCATCATTACCTAAGCTCCTAGCTCAATGAATGAAAATGGAGGTATCTTAGCGTCGAATCCCGGGCTCCTGTCCCCCCATAATTACCGTCACAACCCTTCATCTTAGTCTTATCCCATGCCATCCCACCGCCTCAAATCTTTTGTCGGTAAGCTTCGCCGGTCCACGTTTTACCACTTATCCACTTATTCCCGTGGGTAGAAGGTACGATCTAATACTCTGTAAGGTAAAGTCGGTAATACTGGGACTCTTCTCTTTTCTGTCATCTCCACTCCCCATCTGTCTAATATGACGATTAGGGAACATCCGCCCATTGAGAATTACCATCTGTCTCAACCACCCAATAATGACCCCAAGCAACTGTTCATCGTCATAAAAACACAGCAGTATCTCATTCCTACGGTCCTTTCTTTTCCTCTTCCCTTCCGTCTACCCTCCTTTCATGACTGATCGATAATCTCTTATACGTTCGCTTTTGATTATTTCCTCGTTTTTCTTACCCCGGTTCCCTTTATTCTATTTTTTCCTTGCCTCCCTGACCGAACGGGGGTGATTACTTTAGTATTGCTTACATTATCTCACTCGAGATCCGTCCACTTTTCCCACATCATCCCCCGATCGACCTTTGCTACCCTTTTTTAGCGTCGGCTCGTCAGTCTCACACGTCTTCTTGCTCCGCAGTTAATCCAGTCGCCCCTCATCCTAACTCAACTTATTAACCCAGACATATTGAGTACGGTCAAGGCGCTTGGACTTCTGCTTCCTTTCCACCGGTGTCCTCCATCGCCCTAGTTTCACCTCCTGCGTCACGAGCATCTGATCTCCGCCCCCGGGATCTCGCAGTCGCTCAGGCCTTCATCCGAGACCAGCTGTACCGCTACTACTGTGCGCCGCCCTCGATTCCTCGTCAAGCCTCCTATCGTCGATCGCGAATATTATTATCGTTCCCTTTCTCGTCTATTTTAAATCATTAATTGATTTTTAGTCACCCCATTGCCTCGGTATTCCTTCTTAGCTATAGGGGAGCCGATTGGTGACGACTAACCCGAAGGTGTCGGGGCCGTGTTAGGTTGATGCCGTTCACTTCCGCAGGCAGCTCATGGTTTAGTCGTTCGCTGTCTAGAATATAATCCGAGATGGGTTCGTGTGTAAGCTCAGAGCAGGGTGACCCTGAGCAAAAGAAGAGGAGCCAGGCGATCGATCGCAAGCTGGAGGAGGATTCTAGGCGATTACGGAGAGAGTGCAAGATTCTACTGCTTGGTACGTTCGGGGAGTTCTTTCTTAGCATGGCGTTCTTTCTTTTCGTGTCTGACTGCGATGTTATTCCTGAACCAGGGTCCGGAGAAAGTGGGAAATCGACGATTGTCAAGCAAATGAAGATCATTCATCAAAACGGCTACACAGTGGAGGAGCTGGCGTTGTATCGCCTGACGGTCTGCAAGAATCTCCTAGATTGCGCCAAGTCCCTTGTAGGAGCTTATCACCAGTTCTCCCTCGAGCCCTCGAGCCAAAAAGTCCGTGACTACGTACAATACATTTCAGACTACAATATCGACCCTGACCCGCACACAACGTTGGATACGAAGGTAGGGGAGGCAATAACGTATATCTGGAATGACCCGTGCACATCCACAGTATTGGAACATCAGAACGAGTTCTACTTGATGGACTCTGCTCCATAGTAAGCTCTATCGCTTCCTAGGTTGTACGGAAAGAAGATGCACTGACAGCATCTTGCTAGCTTTTTTGAGGAAGCAAAGCGAATCTCATCTGCAGATTTCATACCCAATGTAAATGATGTGCTTCGCGCCCGAACGAAGACTACCGGTATCTATGAAACTAGGTTTACGATGGGCCAACTGAGCATACAGTATGAGAACTCACCCTGTCTGTGTCTGGGACGTCGCTTACACGTTGTACAGCATGTTTGATGTGGGTGGCCAGCGCAGCGAGCGAAAGAAGTGGATCCATTGTTTCGAGAATGTCACCTCCATTATATTCTGTGTGGCATTGAGCGAGTACGATCAAGTGCTTTTGGAAGAGAGTAATCAGGTAAGCCTTGTCGCATGTCAATAGCCAGCCTTGCCACTAACATTGCTGCAAAGAATCGAATGATGGAGAGTCTGGTGTTGTTCGATTCCGTAGTTAACTCTCGATGGTTCATGCGAACGAGTATAATCCTGTTCCTGAATAAGGTCGATCTGTTCCGCCAAAAGCTCCCTCGGTCACCCTTGAGCAATTACTTTCCTGATTACTCCGGCGGTAATGACGTGAACCGCGCTGCCAAATATCTGCTATGGAGGTTCAACCAAGTTAACCGAGCACATCTGAACCTCTATCCCCAGTGAGCGCCCCGCAAATTCCCAATGAAAACACTTTGTACTGTGACATGCAACTGACTTTACTGTTCATATCAGCTTGACACAAGCCACCGATACAACCAACATCCGCTTAGTATTCGCTGCGGTAAAGGAGACGATTCTACAAAATGCTTTGAAGGATTCAGGTATCTTGTAGATTTGAATGCTCTATGTGCAGACATCTCGAGTTGGACAGATCGCGATCTTTGAGCCTGTTGAGTTGCCGAGTGACCGAGCTACGTTTCTTCCGACAGCTATGACGCTCTTTCTATCCTATTTTCCTTGTCATTCACCCCCGATACTCCCTCGTGTTTTGTGGATAGGCATCGGCGTTAACGGTGCTAGTCTTTTCAGTTTAATATGCTAGGCGCTTGGTTGGATCATAGTCATTGGGACTTTGCGGCATGGAGTCATCTCTATCTTGGTTCTCATTTTTTTTATCCATCTATTTTATCTTTTTTTGAGAGGGGTATGATTTTTTGGGGTGGCTTATTTATCTGCATCATTTTAGTATCGATTGGCCTGGATTTCTATGAGCATCTTGTTTCAAAGTGAAAAGTTGTTGGCCTCAGCACTACTTGCATATAATTTGTGCCAGGGTCCTTGATATCCTCTCTCATCTCGAGATCATCCCTTCTTACTTTATTTCCCCTTCTGTTTTTTCCTTCCCTTGTTGGCCCAACTCACCTTGTGCATCTAATAGCGGTCCCATGACTCCTGGGGCGGCTGGCTTGCAATCTTTTCGACTTATACCATTCAGTTTCCAGCGCTCTAATATGTTTTAGTACTTGGTTCTTTCACTTTACCACATCTCTTTTGTTGAGTAATCGTTGGTGTTTGGATGTGTCTCCATGTTCCCAGATGTGGGCCGATGACTACACGGCATTGCGAAGAATGTCCAGAAGATGGATCTGACCACACGGGGCCGTGCGGAACATCCGGCCCATGGTTCTTCTTTCGTCCTTATTGGGTCGAATATGGTAGAACGCCCAGACACGATAGAATCAAAGAATCAACCGGCATCAAGCGTCGAAGGATTGGGCGGGATTTTGTGAATAATATTATGCCAAGTTTATATAATCACCAGTGTTTCTTATGGGGGAGCCTCTTAACCGTAGTTAGGTAAAGTTATGACAATTAAGTATTTAAATACATAAGTGTGGGTCAGCGAGAGGCTGTAGTAGGGCCTGGACCTTGATTCTGTGAGGAGTATATACGAGTTGTTAGGTGGGTAATGGCAGCGCACATACATGCAGGAGGTCTGATGAGTACCGCACGGACGGTGATGGTGGGAGCTGTGAAGCTACTGTTACCTTACTCCAGAGGTGGTTGGTTGGTTGGTAGGCATAATTAGTACTAGTAGTAGGGTTTCTTTCTCCCCCCCGCAGTGTCCATCAGATGGTGTTTGCGTCATTACTTTTCCGAACCGCCTCCATCGATGTAAACATCACTTCTACTGGACAGAAATATCAACTGTCCACCACGACCGTCGATCTTCCCCACCAACACATTTCCATTCTATCTATAGAGATGGAGATGTTCCTCTGTATCTCTGTATCTCTCTATCGATTGCCGACTCGGTGACACGACAGAAAAATGAAGGGCCATTCCGGATAACCCGTGGACCCCAATGGCACGACCAACCGACTGGTCTAGCCCTCCCCGATGGGTGGCGTAGACTGCCATCTGGAAGGGATTGAAACCGGTTCCTCGCTTTCAACGGACTGGGATCAAATGCGATCACTATTCCTAATCTCCGCCAGGATCGTCCATTGATACCTGAATGTCCACTTATTCTTGATGGTGCCATTGCGAGGTCTCGTCACGGGGTGTGCCTGCAGTTCGAGAACAAACTGAAGCTCTGACCTCTCCTTCCCCTCTTCCCTGGTCTCATTGTCTGCTGCCAACCCTCCCCTCCATCCATCATTTCTCCTCTTCTTAAGTTGCCTGGGTAGCTCTTCATCCCCCCTCCCTCTACCCTCCATCAATTGCTATCTCTCAAATTGCCCGTTGCTCATTCACCCTGATCCTGTCCTACCTTCCAAGCCCCCCTCCTTTCCGTATCATCTTGCTACTTGGGAAACCATGTCTGAAGCACGCCGGGAGAGGAAACCATCGGTTGGTGCTCCTGTATCAGAGCTTCAGGGTCCGATTGGCCCTGGCTTTAGCCGCCCAAAACACAAACGGACTTATACTGGCTTGGCGCCAGCAGAAATCAAAAGTGTTGAGGCCAGCATCCCTGAGCCACTGAGGGAAGCGTAAGTGGCATGTGTACCATGGTTGACTGGCCTTGACTGATTAGACTTCGTATCTAGCTGGAGAAAGCATGTAAGACGGACATACTGACTGCCATCCGAGGTTGTGGTCCTCTTCCGTACTAAATCATGTTGGCTGTAGTCTGCCAGTGGCTTTACGACCCAAGATGAGTTTGAAGTATGTGAGGCTTTGCTAAGGTACATGAAACAACTCCTAACCGCGATATAGCAAGAGCTGGTCCACCACGTCGAGACCACCTTGGCTCGTTCGCTCTACAATTGTGATGAGCTGTATGTTCTTGTAGCGCCCCACCCCCATGCATCCTTCCAGATTCCTAAATGACAACAACAGTGCTGCATACTCGGGAACTGCCCTTGCGTTCCGTGACCGCCTGATCATCGATTGGAATAAGACTCAGCAGCGGCAAAGTTCTGCAGACCAGAAGAGGGTATATTGTAAGTGTGCCCTGAAATTTCCTTCGATCTTCTACATCCATGGATGCAATGCTAATCTGCTACTAGACCTCTCTCTTGAGTTCCTTATGGGCCGAGCGTTGGACAATGCTATGCTCAATGTTGGCATGAAGGACGCGGCTAGGGGTAGGCAATATAGAAGCTCAAGATAACCACAAATCGCTAACTGCATAGCTAAGATGGCTTGAAGAATCTCGGCTTCCGGATCGAGGATGTTATCGACCAGGAACATGATGCTGCCCTCGGAAATGGAGGCTTAGGGCGCCTAGCAGCATGCTTTCTTGATAGTTTGGCGACACTGAACTACCCCGCCTGGGGATACGGCCTGCGTTACAGATACGGAATCTTCAAACAAGAGATTGTGGATGGATACCAAGTTGAGGTTCCTGACTATTGGCTCGATTTCAACCCCTGGGAATTTCCTCGGCATGAGATTGCTGTTGATATCCAATTTTATGGCTGGGTGAGAAAATATCAAGATGACAACGGTAAGACTGTTCATTCGTGGCAAGACGGTGAAACTGTCCAGGCAGTAGCGTACGACGTACCTATTCCTGGCTATGGAACTTCTACCACGAACAATCTTCGATTGTGGTCAAGCAAAGCGAGCAGTGGAGAATTTGACTTCCAGAAGTTCAATGCTGGAGATTATGAGAATGCCGTGGCGGAACAGCAGCGCGCAGAAACGATCTCCGCGGTGCTCTATCCAAACGATAACCTTGAAAGGGGCAAAGAGCTCAGGCTGAAGCAGCAGTACTTCTGGTGTGCTGCATCACTGCATGACATCGTTCGAAGATTCAAGAAGACGAAGCGAGCTTGGGGAGAATTTCCGGATCAGATAGCAATCCAACTGAATGATACGCATCCGACACTAGCTATAGTCGAGCTACAACGCATCCTGGTTGACCTGGAAGGCCTCACGTGGGATGAGGCCTGGACAATAGTGACCAATACTTTTGGGTATACCAACCATACAGTGCTGCCAGAAGCGCTCGAGAAATGGTCTGTCCCTTTAGTGCAAAAGCTGCTCCCACGACACCTGCAGATTATCTTTGATATCAACTTGTTCTTCTTACAGACGGTAGAGAAGAAATTCCCCAATGACAGAGACTTACTGTCGCGGGTGTCAATCATCGAAGAATCACACCCCAAGATGGTCCGGATGGCTCATATTGCAATTATCGGATCCCACAAAGTCAATGGTGTCGCCGAACTGCACTCCGACTTGTTACAGACAACTCTCTTCAAGGACTTTGTCCAGATTTATGGACCTGATAAGTTCACCAACGTCACCAACGGGATCACTCCGCGCCGCTGGCTGCACCAGGCCAACCCGCGGTTGTCGGACCTGATCGCCACTAAGCTGGGTGGATACCATTTCCTGACAGATCTAGCGCTTTTAGACAAGCTCGAAGCGTTTGCTGATGACAAAAACTTTCGAAAGGAGTGGGCAGAAATCAAGATCGCGAACAAACTCCGTCTTGCTAAGCATATCAAAGACGCAACCGGCTATAGTGTCAACCCCACCGCCTTGTTCGACATCCAGGTAAAGCGTATCCATGAGTATAAGCGCCAGCAACTCAATATCTTCGGTGTGATCCATCGCTATCTGACTATTAAGTCCATGTCTCTAGAGGAAAGAAAGAAAGTCTTGCCACGAGTATCCATTATTGGTGGCAAGGCAGCCCCGGGGTACTGGATGGCTAAAACTGTCATTCATCTTGTCAACAATGTCGCATCAGTCGTAAACAATGATCCAGAGATCGGCGATCTTTTGAAGGTAATATTTATTCAGGACTATAACGTCAGCAAGGCAGAGATAATTTGTCCCGCTTCGGATATAAGCGAGCATATCTCAACTGCTGGTACTGAAGGTAGTGGTACCAGTAACATGAAGTTTGTACTTAATGGTGGCCTTATCATTGGAACCTGTGATGGAGCCAACGTATGTTTGACCCCTCCGTCCATCCTCTACAACTGATCCTTGTGATTGACTTATTGTGACTCTTGTTTAGATCGAAATCACTCGCGAGATCGGCGAACAAAACATTTTCCTCTTTGGAAATCTAGCTGAAGATGTCGAGGAACTACGTCACCGCCACTACTACGGTGACTTTCAACTCGACCCTCAGCTTGCCAAGGTGTTTGATGCCATCCGAAGTGGCACGTTCGGCAATGCTAACGACTTCTCTGCACTTATTGCATCCATTGAGGAGCATGGTGACTACTATCTTGTATCTGACGATTTTAACTCGTATATAACCACTCAGGGAATGGTTGATGAGGCATTCCGGAACCAAGACGAGTGGATAGCTAAGTCTATTACCAGTGTTGCACGCATGGGCTTTTTCTCCACTGACCGTGTCATCAACGAATATGCGGATGGAATCTGGAATGTAGAGCCTCTTGCTGTGAAAGACTGACCGAGTGCGTACGCTCAATCCAGACAGAACTGCAAATTTTCTGTTTGCTTTCCCCCATGCTTGCAGTATATTTCGGTTTTGATGCTCAAGTCTTTAATGCGCCTAAACCCCTGCCTGTGACTTGCGTCAGTTCTAATTATAATTATTGAACAATCATAAGCGTTCAAGATGAATTTCAGCATACAAATTGTTTCCGTTATGTGACTGTTAGCTGCATACCTGCATTAGCACAGTATGCTTCTATTTGATTCTTACTCTCTTTACCACTAAGCTTTTCTTCCTCGCTGGTGCCTATCATTTCCCCGTCGGAGCAACACGGAAGTATGTAGAGACAACGAGGAAAGAAATGCCCATTGTGATGACGACTTTACTAGAATGATTGAATGCCTGCACCTATAGTTCTCGTCTAATTTCCTATCCTCATTGGGTCCACTAGATAGTGAATAAACTAGTGCAAAAAACAAGTATCTATGAAACAAATCACAGCATAGACAACGATGCTAATAGTCACTAAACGTACACCTTTACATTCGCTTAAATGTCCAACATGGAAAAAAATGTGCTTCATGTATCATGTCTCAGGGGTAAAGTAGGAAATTGAGGATGGGAGAATATTGAACTGCGTGATTCGGGAAGACCCTAGAAAAAGGTGCAACAGCATATGAATGAGACGGAAGATTTGTTTAGGAGGCACTTAATTCGGCCATGCGCCTTTGCAGTTCTGGAACGGCTCTGAGGTGAAGATCGAGCTCCTCTTTCTCACTATAAATATAGTGTTAGTCTCGGTGTTATACAGCTATTGTGAGAATGGGTAATAGTCAAGGATAGGTGCCGCTTACTCTTCTAGTTTCAGTCTCCGTTCCCAGTCTAGCCCTGTGAAGATGTAGCCTCCTTGGCCGTCGAACTGCAGGATCTTCTTGTGATATTTCCAGAGACTGCGGCGGTGGGAAACGGTCATCAGGGTTGTGCCTAACCTCTTGGCAGTCTCGTACATGACCCGTTCGATCTCCAGAGTAACTGATGAAGTACATTCATCGAGAATGGCAAACTTGGGCCGATGATAGAAGAGTCTTGCCATGGCGATGCGCTGTTGGAGTCCACCGGAGAGTACGTCACGCCACTCTTCCTCTGCATCCCAGCCGTTGGGGCGGTCAACGACTGATGCGATTTCGACGATGGAGAGGATATCATAAAGATCGTCGTCCGTAACGCCCTTGGCACGCATCTCACGAAGTCCATCTGGGTAGATGACTTGCTGGCGAAGTGTTCCGCGAGACAAGTAGGGTCGTTGCGGAATATAAAAGATCTCATCGAATCGAGGTTTCTTTACCTTACCTCCGTAGACAGGCCACAGACCACCAAGGATCCGAAACAAAGATGACTTGCCACATCCGTTCGGGCCAACAATCAATAGATGATCACCGGGGTGCACTGTAAATGACAGCTTCCGCACCAGAACATCCCCGTTAGGCGAGACGATCGGGACATTGGTGAATTCGATTGAGTCGCTCTCCTCGACCTCTCCCCGACCAGACAAAATAGCTGCGTTCTCCTCGGTCGATGCAGAAGACACCAGCTTCTTCTCAAAGCGCCCAGCTAAGAGGTCGTCCATGACCTCCAGCAACGATGAGACACGGGCCGTGTAGCCGGCTAATTCAGAGATCTCTTTGTATGAGAACATCAAGCGACCAAAGGCATCAGAAGAGGAAAGCAACATCCGCCTATTCGTAACAAAGCCTAGTTAATGTGGTGTTAGCTCAGTCTCGGATGTCAGCCTGAGTCCCTACATACTCTCAGTACGGTCTCCCATGGTCTGAGTGATTTGACCTGGAATTCTGAAGAAAACTGGGATGCTGCACAGGATTAATCCCAGGGCTCCCCAGAAATACTTGATGACAAAGTCCTCCATGAAGCCGTGGTATAAGCGTCTGCGCAAAATGCGATTCACGTGCTTGATTAACGTGAAATAGCCTTTGTCTAGAGTATCCTTCTCTGCCTCGTGACCGTGATATAGGGCAATCTCTTCACTATAGTCGATCAACCTGGAGTGGAGGAAACGGAATTCGCCTTCCAAGCGGGCTTCATCGGCAACGTATTTTCCGAATGGTGGTGTTAGCGCACGCATGACGTTAGCTGATAGTTGAACCAATAGGCTCATGATAAAGAGGCCCTCGCCGCCCACACTCTTCGAGAGGGAATAATTATAGATCGCCATGTCTAGAACTGGTTTGGCTAGGTTGGAATATAGTTCAGCCAGACTGTCGGAAAACCGAGACACATCTACCGTGATAAGTTGATCGGGGTTTTTGACTCGGTCATCCAGTGCAGAGATCGCGTAGAATGTCATATTGCTCAAGTACTTGTCATGAATGTAATCTGTTAAGCGCTTCCTGTAACTGAGGGCAAGTTTACATTGGTGATAAGAAAGCTAGAAAGATCAGATGATGTTAGCTGGTGTAGTTCACTTGCCTGAGAGCCGACCAGAACCAGCGCACGACATACCATGGAATTCGTGAAAGTTGCTGGTACGGCAACAATCATCCACCACACAAGACCCAGTAGGAAGTCCTTCCCCTTTCCTCTCACCAAGTTACTGACCAGTCTCCCATCTAGTTCAGCGACATATAAACTGAGTAGTGTTCGAAGCACCAGGAAGACACTGTGGCCAGCCAGCAACCGCAGCTCTTTGCTCCGCCAGCTGGGAACCACTATTTTCAGTAATCGAAGAAGATTTCGAAAGAATTCACGGTTGACCCCAACTTTCTTCCGCGGTCGGTCTCCACCATCCCCGATACTGCTGGTCCCCGGACGTCGCCGCAGCTCCACTTGTTGCTGGGAAGCGGCTTTCTGTTCGGAGATGGCATTATGGATGCGCTTTGCTAAAGCCGCGAAGAGAGCCAAATATACTGTGCGCGAAATCCCAGTGCGGTGGCGCAGGTACAAGGCCGTTAGACTCGAGAGGATTTGCCGAACTGATCGTTCGGGAGGAAGCAGTTTCGATTGAGCGGCATCGCGACGGGAGGAAGAAGCCGCGGCCAAGACAGGCAGAATTAAATTTCAGCCAGAGTCAACTTGGGATAACATGGCCATGAAGCGGGATAATTTAGTTGCCGGGAGAGGAGTATGGATAGGGCAAAGAAAGTGGAGGAGAGAGAAAGAGGGATGATGTGAAGAGAGCAAGAAGAGCCCCGGGGGGGATGACATGTGAACGGATCATCCCCCGACTTTCTGGGGAAGCCGAGGAATCTTTGGTTCTGTACGGTACGGTATGGAAATTGGTGTAGATAGATACTAACTCCGTACATACATACATAAGTACACCTCCATGTCACTCTGGTAAAGATCGCAATTATTGATGTAAAACAACAGTTCAATATAATGTGACATGTAAGGAGTAACAACGACTCTATGACATAGTCAATAAGATAAGAGAAAAGAGCAAAAAGGAAAAGGTATGACACGGGCGGGATTCGACCACACGTCTCGTGACTCGCGAAGACACTCTAGCTGTTCTTGGACAGAGTATGTCTAGAGTCTTTGTTTTCGAAACACTTAATACTACCACCACTACCACAATGGCTTTTGCTCTACTACACTCCTGTACTCTCGTGATGATCTTGAAGCTCTGACATATCTACACCAAAGCTATGCTAATCCTGTGTTGGGAAACTCCCCATGGGAATGAGTCCAGCCCCAGGCCTCTCGAAGCTGGACCTGTGCCTTGGTAGTTGATAAGGCGTGGGTCTCTTCGGTCGTGGTCAAGATACCGAGTAGCGCTTCTTGTTCTAAACGATCCGTTATCCGATCTCCACCTGTTCTCAAGCATTAGTATAGAGCTATGTATACAGCTCTCTCACCAAACAGATGGCTTACACATCGAAACTCCCATGCATGCCGTGATAAGAGCAGGGGCTGTCTTATTCGACCGAGCAATGCCACAGAGTATAAACATGCTTTCTTTGATTTCAGCCTGAGAGTATGAATGAGCGGCAAATTCTTCTAGAATTGGCACATTCCATACCTCTCTTCGTCCGACTGCTGCTCGCCTACCCGGCTAGACGGGGGACTCTGGGGTCGAATGCAGTAAGTAGAATCCTTGCAAGGTGCCAGTGTTGAATGGCAGTCACTATGAGTTTACGGCGTGTTAGCTCCTGACTGCTCGCAAACGCAAAGGCCTTTGACTTATACCGATGCAATCATCCAAAAACCACAACTCTGGAAACACCTCGTCCTTCGACTTATCCGGCTGTCGAAGATAAATCGGATTGAATGTCGGTGGTGCCATCCGGTTCCACCCTTGATTATAATCCCAGAGCTGTTCATATTCCTTCATCGTATGACTCCTCTCGTCATAACAGTACATCAGCGTGTGTGCACAGTGCAGGATGACTCGATTGGCCCACGTGGGGTCATCTGCTTGGTCGAGTAACCTATAGGTTGAGTGATCACAGCAACTGAGGTCAAATTGGAAGATCCGCTGTTTGATGAACGAGGTGTGGAATTCCTGGCGTATACCTACCCAGAATGCAGCCAGCCGGAGACCACCGTCCCTCACTGCGGCTGCGCCCTGAGCATTTAGGAATACTTGCACTCCTCGCAAGTAAGTCTCATCGTCGGCCCCTACAAGGGGTGCTGAAGCCCACCAAATCAGCCGCCACTGCCGTCACAAAGCGTGCCAATAGTAATGAAACGTACAATCTACTTCTTCATAGAAGCGCAGAATTACCGCTGCTGCTAGGAGGTTCTCATCTGCCACTTCGGCAGGATTCCCAGACAAATTCATGAGGTGTGATATACACAAACCTTGATACTCTAACGCAGCATCATCCCCAAGAAAAGGTAATTTCTTCCCCAAACACAATACCTCGTTGGTTCGTAGATACTGACTTCGGCTGAGGTGCCTTGCGGAAGCGGAAAAGATCGCATACAGAAGCGCGGGACAATTCGCTGCCCGTTGGGGAACAACTTTAGCAAAATGCTTAGAGGGATCACAAGTATCAAACTAGGAGAGATCGTCAGTCTCATTTTGGAGAATAGCGACTGGTTCCTCAGCCCTGCAAGCACCCACCCATTGTGCAAGCTCGTCTACAAAATAGCGCATTAAACATGCTTCCTGAACGTCTTTCTGTGACCATAGGGACTGCGGCAGATCCTGGGATTCCTGTCCCCGAACTGTCACCAGGTTCTCTTGTGTAGATCTTGGCTTTGGTAAGCGTTGTTGGGCCATCAGGGTTGGTTTGAGATGACTTCATTTCCTCAGCAAGAACAGTCGAACTGACATTCTAATTTGTTGATCCCGCCCACAAACCCCGCATCTTCTGACGGGCGCCGATCTTAGCGTGTTAGGAATCTCTGACTTGGCAATTTTCTCACCGATGACTGTCGGAGAGATGCACCGAAAGCCTCAGCTTTTATCTGGATTTCAATCCTTTAATGGTGGCAGTGTAAAGATCGTTGATTATAGAACATTCGGGATCGCCTTCCGGCGGTCGGGATGAGCCTACTTCCTATGGCTATACATAAGGCTGAATGACTCGGGGCTACGATACCAGTAATTTCATCTCCTCCCACAATAGCAGGCTTGCAGTGAGACACTTCTGAGTCTTTGCTTTTCGGCGTTTTCCTATCGTGATGCGGTACCTTACCCTAACTCGTGCGGCAGGCCTCAACCGCCTCAAAAGCTGCTTTGTCAATTCAACGGCGCGCAGATACATGACTATCTTACACCCCCCTAAATTCGAAAATGAGAAGTTGGTGAGCTAAAAGCAGATAGCCTCACAGACGCCCTATAATGACCATTCCCTTAGCTCAGCTACGCCAGAGAATCCCCAGAGAGAGCTGAGTTGTCGGAGACAATCCAGAAAATGAAGAGTGAATTCCCGGCCACAATTCCAATCAAAATAAATGGATTAGAAGTATGTAACCAATTGATAATGGCCATTTTCATAGACTTATCTGTGTATTTGTATAGGTTGAAACGAAGCAATCCCGCTCCCAAGTAAACCCTTCTCGGCATAAAGATATCGTGGCCAACTATGCAGTGGCTACACCTGGTCAAGTAAATGCTGCCGTTGATGCGGCGCTCAAGGCCAAACCTGCTTGGGAGGCCACTCCGTTTGAAGACCGCGCGGCTATTTTTCTGCGTGCTTGTGAGCTCATTGCTGGCAAGTATCGCTCTGAGATGGTCGCTGCGACGATGCTTGGTCAAGGCAAGAACATATGGCAGGCAGAGATTGATGCCCCGGCGGAGACCATTGACTTCTTCCGCTACTACGTTCAAGAGGCATGGGCTCTTTACTCTCAACAACCTAAAGTTCATCCCGACGGAAACTGGAATAAACTTGAATACCGTCCACTTGAAGGATTCACTTATGCGATTGCCCCGTTCAATTTCACAGCACTTGGAGCTACACTTGTTGGCCCGGCCTCGTTGCTTGGAAATGTGGTCATCTGGAAGCCGTCAGATTCGGCCCTTCATGCTAGCTGGCTTCTCCACGAGATTCTGCTGGAAGCTGGCCTTCCTAAGGATGTCATTCAATTCCTGCCTGGCGATGCTGAGGAAGTGACCAATACCATCCTTAGAAGACCCGAATTCAGTGCTCTGACTTTTATTGGATCTACCGCTACTTTCAAGGGTATTCAAAAGAAGATTGGTGATGGTATTGGACAAGGCATCTACAATTCCTACCCTCGTGTTGTGGGTGAGACCGGTGGGAAGAACTGGGGTGTAGTTCATTCATCTGCCGACGTGAGGAGTGCTGCACTCAATACCATTCGCGCTGCCTTTGAGTACCAAGGCCAAAAGTGTTCCGCCAACTCCCGTGTCTATGTTGCCGAGTCAGTTTGGCCTGAATTCCAACGGCACCTAAAAGGGGAAACGGAAGCGTTGAAGGTTGGAGATGTCGAAGATTATGGCAACTTCGTTAACCCTGTTATCCACGAGCGCTCGTTCGACAAATTGAATAAATTCATCGAGGATGCGAAAACCGACTTGGAACTTGAACTGATTACTGGTGGTAAGGCCTCAAAAGAAAAAGGGTTCTATGTGCATCCCACCATCTATAAAACCTCCAATCCGCGTCACGATATCATGAACCGGGAGTTGTTCGGACCGATTCTGGGTGTTTATGTTTACCCCGATGCTGAGTGGGAGGCCACCTTGAAGTTGATTGATACAACCTCTAGATATGGCCTTACTGGCAGCATCTATGCGAAGGATCCGTACGCCAGCCGTCAGGCCCAGACTGCTCTGAAGCATGCTGCTGGGATGCTCTACCTGAACACTAAATGCACCGGCTCTACGGTTGCTCAGCAGCCATTTGGTGGTAGCCGAGATTCTGGTACTAATGATAAGACTGGCACTATGGCTCATTTGCAAAGATTCGTTAGCACCCGGACGATCAAGGAGGAATTTGTCCCGTTAGAGAAGGTCGCGTATCCTTCTAACGAGGTCTAGATGTCACCGTTGATGAAGGAAATTGAGAGATTCAATACAATCAGTAGTACAGGAAGGGAAGCTTAATTCCAAGCATAGCAAGTATACGTACATTCCTTTTGCCTTTCTTCTACATGTCAGAAACCACTTTGTTGGAAATCAAGTGTAATAGTAAATGATTTGTTTAAAACAAATTCAGATCTGTATTCAACAAGCCAATTACAGCGACATCATTCTCTATTCAATATCAGGCTAGCTCCACCACACATTGCAGTGGTCTAGCAGATTTTATGTTCCCGATTGAAGAAGGATATTATTTAGTCCTCTATTGATGCGTTGGCCCACGCCCTCGGGACAGTGTTCCGACTGGCGTTGGACGTTTTATTATATGTAAGAGCATGTCCAAAGGCAAATGAACATTGGTACTTGGATCTCTCAGATTCGGTGTGATACAAACATAAACTTCGTTCATTACATCCTCCTTTAACCCCGAATCGCTATGCTTCCTCAGTCTACATTCCCAGTGCGCCTCCGGGTTGCATCAGGCAGAAGAAAGTCACTGCTGGCATACCCGAAGTATACGAACTACCACCATGAACCAGTTACCAAGCCGGAAATCAAGCCATACCGGGCAGTGTCACCAATGGCAAGGTTACCGACCAGAATCCTGCTACGGTCTTTAGTCTTAACTTCTCTGATGTCCTCCAAAATCCTCATACGACCAGCCCTAACTATCCTGAACATTCTTGCTATCTCAAAATCGCCATTCCTGAACGCAGACCGAAATAGCATACTGAACAAGGCTCTTCGGCTTACGGTTTATGATCACTTTTGCGCCGGTACCAATCATACAGAGGTCTCCAGGACGATAGCGGACACCAAGCGGATTGGATACCAGGGTGTTATCCTAGGGTATTCCAAGGAGGTCATATTATACCCTAATGGTCAATCATTAACAGACTCTATCTCTGCTACGTACAGTGACCGGTGCTACGAAATGGTCGAGGAGTGGAAGGAAGGAACTTTGGAAACCCTACGCATGCTCGAGCCGGGGGATTTTCTCGCCCTAAAGTAAGTCTAATAGCACCACTATCTGGAACCATTCCGACTTTTAACAATCCATCCTGCAGATTGACGGGCGCCGGACCGATTTCGGTAGATGCCATGGCAGCGTGCCAGCCAATGCCCGAGGTTGTGGCAAAAGCCGTGAACACGATTTGTGTCGCAACCGCACAACAACGCTCACGTCTCTGGCTCGACGCAGAGCAACAGATGCTTCAACCTGGACTGGATAAATGGGCCATCGAGATGATGCGCACGCATAACCGATCGGAGACGCCCGTAGTCTACAATACAATCCAAGGCTATCTCAAGGGGTCGAAGGCGAATGTCGACAACCATATCAAGCTGGCAGCGCAAGAGGGATGGTCGCTTGGGATCAAGTTGGTGCGTGGGGCGTATATTGAACATGAAAATCGTGCTTTGATCCACGACACCAAAGAAGAAACAGACAGTTCATATGACATGATTGCAGACATGTTGCTTGGTCAACGACTACCGGCTGAAGTTGAGCATCTGCAGTTCCCACCTGCAGCCCTCTTTCTTGCCACCCACAATGCGGCTAGCACGGCAAAAGCGATCACCACGCATCAGGAACGAATACTTGCAGGACAGCCCACCGTTACACTCGAGTGCGGGCAGATTCAGGGCATGGCGGATGAGCTGAGCTGTGAGCTGCTGCACAGGTATGAGCATGCCCTAGATCAGTCATCTGCTGCAAAAGTGTCTCTTCCAAAGACTTTCAAGTGTTTAACATGGGGATCTGTGGCTGAGTGCATGGGATATTTACACCGGCGCGCAATTGAAAACCGAGGTGCCGTGGAGAGAACACAACATATGGTGGCTGCTATACGGAAAGAGCTGTGGCGGAGGCTCTTTGGGTGAATCGACTACGAGTTGATACAACATAAAGGGGTACAATTCGAATGGAATTGAGCATCTAGTAGTTGTCCAGTAAGCATTGGCCGTTGTTTTTATCGAAGCGTAAGCTTTTAGGGTACTCCGGGTCACGCATTTGATTACTGGATTAGGATACTTATAGACAATGACGTCATATTGCAAGAAATAGCCAATGAGGGGGAATCTGATAAGGCAACCCCGCACATGAGCTCCGATGGTAAAACAAAAGTCGGACACTCATCCCGACCTCTGCGGTTGAGTCTCATCGCCACTTTGTCCTCACAATACCTCGGCGCCTGCCCCCGGTATGCCTCCAACCGAACGACTGAAGAAGAAAAGTCTTCGAGCGTGAGCAAGAATTCCTCACCCCATGTGTAGGGATGGTAGATGAATAACTAGATATATGCTAGATGTGAACGGTGTCGGTCGATGAAGGTGAAGTGTTCGGGATCACATCCCTGTTCACGATGTACTCGCAGTAATCGATCCTGTCACTTTCCAGTGGAGGAGGTTAGGGTGTCTGTTAGTGAACGGTAAGGGGATGAGCAACGTTAGCAGGATCGTCGCACTAATACACGCCATCCCTCAATTCCAGCTATCTGAGAGAGTTGGAAGAACAAATTACTAGGAGTGCAACTTCCGGGCGGTATACGACCTCCATCGGGGTGGAGCACCAGGGCCTACCTCCCTTGACCAGAAGTGAAGCTGTAGACCTTTCCCCGACTCCCAATGTAACGACATACCTGGCACCGGATGGCCGGCAAACAGCTGGATGGCAGATGGCGTCTGACGGTAAGCAGATTTTGTTCTGCGTTATTCGACATGCCATGAAAGCTTTCTGCTTATAGTATTTCACTTGGTCCCTGAGAACTAACCGCGTCAGATAGACTCTCCCATACGTAATCCTGGAAGAAGGGTTGGCACCGGGGAGAGGCAAGTATGCCATGACTCAGAATTCTCGAAGAATCCACTTGTAGACAAAAAGGAATGGGCTTTTGCTGCAACTCCGGACGGCCGATATTGTGAGATTATTAACCCTCTTCTCACCTGCTACACTGCTGATGCAAGCAACATAGGGTATATGGGCCCGTCATCCTCATGGTCCTTTTGTCGTCGCGTCCTGGCCCTTTTAGGGAAACGAGTTCCTGAATCGAACTCTCCACCAGATCCATGGCATTTGGATGGCATGGCATTCAAGCTGCAATGGAAGCAAGTACCCCCCGAGGAAACGCCTGATGTCACCAATATACCGCCTTTGGACTATGCGCTTTTTCTTTACAATACTGCGAAGTACTATCTCGCTTCTTTATCCTTCCTGATTGATGAGACACTATACCTTCAAGAGTTACACGAATTTTACCTGGATCCAGCAGCGAAGGCTGCCTCACGTAGGTCTTGGTTCGCCCAATATCTACTTGTGCTTGCCTTTGGAAAAGCATTCATAACTCAAAGAAATCCATCTGGGTCTCCAACCGGGCACCAGTATGCATCAAGGGCGATGGCTTTATTGCCAGATCTATCCGGCATACACGAGGATCCCTTGACCTCGATTCAAGCCTTGAGCCTAGCAGCACTGTACTTTCAGTCAATTGACATGAGAAAAGCAGCATTTCAGCACGTAAGTTTCCGACTTTGTTCGTGCCAAAGATGCCCCTGCTTATCCCTTCACTATCTATTAGATTGGGCAGGCTCTACGTTGTTGTATTATTGAAGGCATACACAGGCATGTTCCGGAAGAGCTGGGCGGGCCAGAACTTTCCCAGCGCTGTCAAGCTGTCTTTTGGGTAGTATACATGCTGGATAGAGAGTTCTCCGCATTGATGGGAGGACCAAACTCAATTCGTGATGAGGATATCACGGTCAGGTTGCCTGCAGAGGTGGCGTATTCCGTAGAAAATGCCAATCTGACATTGCATGTTCGGCTCGCGCGCCTCATGGCGCAGATATTGACAAGTGAGTCCCGTTGACAATCCGCCAAGGCGAGGCTCTATATGGATTTACTAACACAATTGAGATAGCGGTATATGGGGTGGATAGTGCATCTAATGGAGCATTGATCAGAGATATTCAATCTATTCTTCATGCACTAGCGGACCTCTCTCAAGACATCACGGAGTTTCTGGATAGCAGTTTTCATGGAACGATTAGCCGAGGCTCAAAAATGGCAGTTAGACTGATGCTAGCCCAACATCATGTAAGTGTACCTCTTATAACTCGAGCATTCTTTCAACACTAAATGATTCCAAGTGTGTGGTTCTGACAACACGGCCTTTGGTTATGTGTGCTCTCAATATGCACATAGACAGTGCAGAGAGACAGCCGTCGCAAGGCATTTGTCTGTCGCCGCCCGTGGCATCCCTCTTGCAATGCTGCGCCGACTCTGCCCAGACCATCCTTCAAACTCTCCGATCGTTGGCCGATGATGACTTGATGGGTATGAAAAATCAGTTTCTGTTGCACAACGCCAACCCTAACTAACGCCTATTGCGCCAGATGCATTTTTACCGTTTCAAGTCGAGCACGCTTCTTCATCTGCCTTTGTTTTGTACTTGATTCGCTCAATCGCCCCCTCACTTATTGCGAATGAGTCCTGGTGCGATAACCTTGACTGCGTTATCGAAAAGCTCATATCGAAAGGCAATCTAGCGGCACCACTCCGGAAACTGGAGCTGAGGCATCTGGACCTTATGTTGACACCCTTAACACCGAGATCTGCAACTCATACAGTGCTTCCAGTAACTTCCGATGAAATCCAAGATAACAATGATGATACATATGCGCTGGATCAAGTGGATATAGGAGATGAAGTTGAATGGGATTTGTTGGCGCTCAACCATTCTGTGAGCCTTCCACCAAGAGAGCTGCTCGATTTAGCAGACCAACTGGACGTGGATAGTATTATGCAATCTATGGACGCTTGAGCAAGAGGATTTACGGCCCAAATAAAGAATACACTGCCATGATTTCATACTGAAATCCGACAGAAATGAAACCCCTTTAATAACTTCACTTTGTCCGGCTTACAATCCGACAGGTAGCCACCGTATTATATAGCAGCAACGTTCAGTTTGGCGTGGAAAGGAGGATATTTACACAACAGCAATGAAATCCACCTGAATATCTACCCCAGCAGGCAATTTGGATACTTCCACCATAGACCGTGCCGGACGATGCGGAAACGCGGGGTCATACACAGAGGCAAAGTCAGGCATTATACTGGCGTCTCTAACATACACCTACGGTGCCTCAAGAGGTTAACATAATAACGGTGAGGATGACAGAAGATCATCCAAGCTTTTGCGTACTCAAAGGGCACTTACAACCACTTTGACAACCCGGTCCAGTCCGGAGCCGGCCTCTTGAAGAATAGCTTTGGTATTCTGGATGATGACTTTGGTCTTCTCGACAGTTGAGCCCTTGACTAGATTACCTTGCGCGTCCGCAGGGATCTGACCGGAGAGCCAGACCTGGCCGGCGGCTTTTATTGCTTGGGACTGCATTTCATAACATTGTTGGCGAAGTCCTTAGGGGCTTACTCTGGGCAACATACGTAGTGTGCGAAAGCTAGACAACAGTTAGCCTGTGTCACTTGAGTAGATTTAGGACCTATTCCCACGGGCATATGCTCTATCGGTCTGCACGCTTGTTACTGAGGTAAACATGGGTGCAGTGGTGCACATGGATCGACTTCTAAAGGCTGGGCTCGGAACAGAGTAGAAGAGATGGCTGAGGGAAGATATACTGCGGATAGCACGCGGAGAGAACATGTTTGACTTCGAAATCACAAAGCGCGTCAAAGAAAAGCGATGACATAAATGGGTTATATCTATGCGCTTTGGAGGATCGGCCCTTCTATACCAGAGGTGATCGGGATTGGATACCGCTCAGTCGGAGGATAGCTCCGACATCTTCTCATTTTTTAACATCTTAAAAACCAGGGTTTCCAACAACAACCCCATACAGTATACTCTAAAACCAGACTTCGCACTTAAAATGATACGATCACGAACCCTCGGACGCTTCCTGTCCATATAGTAAGCCTCTAACCATAACATCTCTGCCCCCCCACAACCGAGTCACAACTAATAGTAAACCAGCGCCACACCCGCTCGCACCGCTCTCAAGCAGCAACCACTTCGGAACCTCCGCCAAAGTTCCTCAATGGCAGCGGCAGCAACAGCAGCAACAATAACAAAAGAAAGCGAGAGCAACACCGCACAAAAGAACTACAAGATAGTACAAGACGTAGGCAACTTCGCCGAGACGGAAGCCCAACGTCCAGACTTCGACCACGCCAAGCCCATCGAAACCACCAAATCCCCCTATCCGACCTGGGCCTACGGACAAGGGATACCAGACAACGACGCTAGTCTGTCGCAAGAGCACCACGAAGTAGACCCCTACGCGCCAGACCGGCCCTCAGTGAACAACTACAGGCTCCTTGTCTCGGCCATCGCGCCCCGCCCAGTCGGGTTCCTCAGCACCGTCAATGCAAAGGGCCAAAAGAATCTCTCCCCCTTCAGTTACTTCCAGGTCATTGATCATGACCCTCCGATGTTCATCGTCGGGTTCTCATCCCGGCCGGGACGGGTAAAGGACACGTACCGCAATCTCAAGGAAACGGGCGAGTGCGTGATCAACACTGTGTCCGAGAACATGATCGAGGCGGTTAATGCCACCTCCATCGATGCGCCGTATGGTGTTTCCGAGTGGGATGTCTCGGGTCTGCACGAGGCACCCTCGACGACTGTTAAGCCGTCGCGCGTGAAGGAGTCCGTGTTCAGCATCGAGGGCAAGGTGATCGATATTAAGGAGTTTGCGGATCATCAGCAGCCGGGCATGAGCATTGCTGCTACGGTGTTGATCAAGGCGACGAGGTTCTGGGTTAAAGAGGGGGCTGCCGATGCGGATTTCAGTCATATTGATCTTGATAAATTGAGGCCCGTGGCGCAGCTGGGCGGTGTTTCTTATGGGCGGATTGTGTCGACTTTTGAACGGCCGAGGACGAAGTGGAGTAATGAGGTGGTGAAGAGTGAGTTGTTGGCGAGGTTGGAGGGTAAGCGGGAGAATTGATCTACTGGATTAGGTTTGTGGATAGATGGTTTTTGTATATACGGTGTTGTCCTCTCTCTTTCCCTTTCGCTCTCCCTCTTCCTCCCTTTTGGGGCCCTCCTCTAGATAGAATTTAGATTTTAGTGTGCTATTAGAGAACACATTACATTATTATTGCCACGTCTCACTCAAGAATAGCCCAACAAATAATTGCAACTCTACTTCCTTGTACATCTCAGAAGCCAGAACCATTCGCAACGTCAAGCATCAGCGACTGTATATGGTCTAGGGCTCAAGTACAACATAGCCTAATTATGACCTGGAAAAACTCCTAAATAGCATTGACGACTGATCAGATCCCCGACTCCAACACCCACCACACCAATAAAAATGCTTTCAAAAACCACAACATTACAAACACCCCCTACCAACCACTCACTCACCCACCCGGATAGGTTGATAACCAATCAACTAACCGGCTGCCTCACAGCAGGAACATACTAAATAGCACCCAACATCAACACCAATCCCCTCCAATGACCTCTAGTCACCCCCGAAAGTCACCGCCCCCCAAAAACCCCCGGGGGGAGGGAGCTTTGGGAATGAAAGGGGGAACGGGGGAGGGAAGAACTCACCGGCCAAATCTGCACCTTCTCCAAGTCCCAAACCCCACTGGTAGCATAAACATCTTTCTGAATAAGGGAAAGGACCTCTTCTGCGCTCTCGCCGGTATACACGACCATACTACCTTTGATTTGGACATCATTGTGTGCTGCAGCGTGGGATTCGAGGATGGCGCCTAGTTTGTTTTGTTTTAGAATTCTCATCATCATCACAATCAATACCCCCACCGTAGCGGATGGTGATATATCCAGCTAGCTAGTGATGATACTACTAATATCACCACAAGTTAAATAGATGGGATAGAGCTTTACCTCCGTCAACAAGCTTCCCGGCTGCTACTAACAATTTGACGCCTTCGTAATGCGCGCTGGGTACACACTTTGTTAGTACTTGCTCCATTAATCATTCTCTGACTGATTGATAAAGATGTAGAAACCTCTCACCCTTTCACCTTCTTTCTGAGCTCCAGGACATTAGACTTATCGGGCATAATGCATAGGAACTCTTTCTTCGGTGGCATTGGCTTTGTGCTTGTCTTAGTCTTTGTTGAGAGGAATCGTGTGCCGATTGGGTGTGCCCTGCTGGCGAGTCTGGGGGCTAGGCGGGTGGTCATCTCGTATAGTAACTAATATGAAAGTGATTCTCGGTTTATAAGAGGATTTGGCTTGTGACTTGTCTTTTGTGGTCAGGCTGGAGGTGAGGGGGTTGTTATGTATCTAATCTAAATTGTGTCCTTGGATTTAATATGTCGGTGCTAAATGCCGATGGTTGGGTTTGGCTCGGAGGGTTACTCCGATGGTGTTTGGGAGACAGAAGGACTTAGGGTTATTGTACAAGGTTGGTTTTGTTTGATTCAGACTGTTGTCGCTGTTCCAAATGTCTATTTACTGTGCCAGCGCTTTTTTTTTTTCTTTTCTTTTTTTCTTTTTCTTTTTTTTTTTTTTTTTTTT